TGAAGACGTGTGAAGACGTATGTTTTCACACCTCTACAAGTGAAAATGATGCTTCAGATGCTTTAAACTTATTGGGAGATGTGTGAAGGATAAAACCCCTATTGTAGGGTGAATGAATAGGTGAATTTGTGTTTAAGACATGCAGAGGAGTGAAAGCATCCTTCACACAACCCCAAACCAGTGTGAAGAGGTGTGAAGTATGTTTTCACACTTCTGAAAGTGAATATCATGCTTCAATATCTTCACACTGATTTGAGGATGTGTGAAGAATAATTTACCACCTAGTATTCTTGTCACTTCTTGTAGGTTTGAATCAATAAGTGAATTTGTGTCTAACACATGGGTAGGAGTGAAATTATCCTTCACACATCCCTGCATCAGTGTGAAGAGATGTGAAGAATTTTTTCACACCTTTCCAAGTGAAACTGATGCGACATTATCCTTCACACATCCCTGAATCAGTGTGAAGAGATGTGAAGAAGTTTTTCACACCACTCCAAGTGGAACTGATTCGACACAGGCTTCACTGATTTGAGGATGTGTGAATGATAATTTCCCTATTGTAGGTGTGAACCAATAAATAAGTGAATTTAACACATGGGTAGGAGTGAAATTATCATTCACACATCCTCAAGTCAGAGTGAAGAGGTGTGAAGTATGATTTCACACCTCTCTGAAAGTGAATATCATGCTTCACACAATTGACACTCATTTGAGGATGTGTGAATGATAATTTCCCACCTATTCAACTTGTCACTTATTGTAGGTGTGAATCAATAAGGGAATTTGTATTTAACACATGTATAGGAGAGAAACTATCATATCCTCCAATCATTGTGAATAGGTAAGTATATAATCACACCTCTTACAGTGAAAATCATGCTTGACACGCTTAACACATATTTGAGGACCAATCCTTATTATTGCTTCTTGTAGGTGAAGTGCATTTGTAATAGCACTTCAACTTATTTATGAAAGAAATATTGGTTGTTTTATTGCAACAACAAATTAAATTCACAGAGTGGCAAGCATGATGGGTAACATAGAGAACATACATTTACCACTGTGGTTCCTCTGTTTCTGTTAATTTTGTGTCATAATCACAAGCCAGTTCCTCAGCCACCACCTTTGCATCCATTTCCTCCGGCTCATCTTCTATTTCCTCCGGCTCAACTTCTATTGCATCACGCCTGGAATAAGATCCATCTCGATTGGTGATCCAATCTCTTTGCCATTTGAGATTCAAGTAAATAATAATGTTTTTCTCATATACCGACCACCAGGTATGAGCCTGGAATTCACGTACTTCCATCCAATCGGGATGAATGAAAGGGATAGGCAGGTTGTGATTGAAATCGAGTTTGAGTGGTATGAAATGATTCTCGTTGATGAAGGCCATGACAATTGGTTGATAACATTCATTGTCTTTGAGTTCATGGCAGTACGGTGCAAAGCAAGGAAGTATTAAGGAGCAGTTTGCTTCAGTTTTGCTGTAATAAATAACCGGCCTTTGGTATGCGTTGGCAATGATAAACCCTCCACATGGCATCGGAAACCATTCGCTCTGCTCTGCAGTTAGAGCAGTTGATTTCAAAATCGATTCGATAAGTGTGATATCGATGTCAACCGCAAACTTGAGGATATTTTCAGCATACCAGTCATACTTGGACTGTAGGTGTTGTAAAAGGACTGATCGGATAGTGGGTGCCTGGTTAGGTGTGAGTCCCAGTGAGACTGCGATGGTTGAGAAAGCGCAAAGGCCATCTTTCGGTACGTCTGTAGCATTTTTGACAAATGGAAATATGTATCGAGGTACATCCTGCAAAAATGGCCACTTCTGTCGAAGTGTAAGGTAAGGAGGGGCTCAGTGCTAATCTTCAAGATATACATTTATAAGCAAATGATACATACCTTCAAAACAACACACTCAATCTGAAGGTGTTCCTCCATTTCTTCTGGAGTAAAAGGTTTTTGACACTGTAGAACAAAAGTGATACAGATTAGAAATGCAATACTTTGTTTTTGAGAGTTGCTCGCATGGCAGGTACTGACTTTCTTTTTTTCCAAGAGCCTCTGAGGCTTTAAGGACTGACCTTCGGATGTCGGCTGGGTGGAATTGATGGCACATGGCAAGAAGACATCGGCTTTGGCTGCTGTTGTTTCTGCACTTGTGCTTGGCGATTCGGCACTTGCTGCCAAGGGAACTTCTGTCTCTCTTGGTGTTTCCGATTCTGCTCTTAGCTAAAAATTGAGAGTAACATCAGCACTTTTTTTGTATGGGATGAATTGGTGAGAGACTTACTTCTTCAAGACCTACTTCTTCTTCGGCAGCAGCTGCTACTTTGCGACGCGTAGACACTTTCGAGGGAAGAATGGGACCACTATCTTTGCGCTTTTGGCCTCGTCCGACAGCCTGGGCTTTCTCCTCGGTAGGAACTGAATGATGTTTACAGTGACACTTTCTACCTCCTCTGAGACTTCGATGTAACCATAACCCTTTGGCAATTTCGGCAAATCAGGGATAGTTGTGGTTTTGCCTTTGCAAATGTTTTGACCGGGTTCTTTGGTTTTGGCTTTCCGTGTGCGAAGACTTGGTGCCGGATTATCTTCAGCCTTGGAGATCTTACGTTTGCGAGTTTGAGATTTTGGAGCCTTAATTTGTTTGGCAAGAGGAAGTACTGAAGGGAACTCGATATCATTGACAGGCTGATCAAGGTTGGTGGGTAACACATCCACAGCAGCTTGCAACACAGAATTTTCTGCTGAAACCTTCTGAACTTCAGTGTTCAAATGCTCAGCTTTGACTTCAGGCGTATCCATGGTGATCTCGAGGTTGAAATCGGGTAAAGGTGAAGAACCTGCGAGGGTCAGATAGTTTGTTAGAGTTGAACGAACAAGAGAGTCAAGAAATAATTCATGACTCACGATTCTCGGTTGGATGATTCTCAGGATTCAATGGACAATTTACTCCTGAAACCGCCAGATCTTGATTTTTTGAAGGCTTAGCTTCAACTTCAGGTTCTTCCATCGGAATATCGAGTTTGAACTCGGGTAAAGGTGAAGAAGCTGCAGGATACAGATTTTTAGTTAGAGTTGAACAAACAAGATATCCCAAGAACAAAAGGAAGATGACTCACGATTTTTGG